CTATGTGTGATGAATATAATTTTAAAAAGTGAAGTCTTTTGAAGTCATTAATCTATGGGTAGATACATATGTAGACAAGTATGGATAGGCAAATGGGAATATACCCATGGTCATTCATAGTTTGGCAAATGATATTCCTACATATGTATTTGAATGTGCTATAAAAGTGCTTATATTCAGTTTAACATAACGGGAGGCAAAGTTAGAGTAACTTCTTAGCAACAAGTAAGTAACATGTTGAATAAGCGGGTTGCTGGGCCTACAGTTTGGAAACCATGATTGTGAGGGGCATCAAGCTCAATTTGCACAACATGGTACACAAAAATACTATTCTACATCGTACTTTGGTGAGTAGTTGTTGGAGTCTTAAAGGTTTGCCAGCAGCCATCTATGTGGCAACCATTGGTCTCTCCTTATACAGAGCAAAGGAGAGTGAAGAAAATTAAATACATATGGAAACTGTTATTCCAAAGGACTAATGGACCAGGAGAATTTCAATCAATAGCACCCTGAAACCAGGTATTCTCATGGTGCAGTGTCTAAGGCATCTGACTGTTAACTAGAAAGTTGACGGTTCAAACCCACCAGCTACACCATGGAAGAAAGACTGGGCAATCTACTTCCACAAAGATTTACAACCTTGGAAACCCAATGTGGGTCTTTATGAGTTGGAATTGACTCATGGCAGGTTTGTTTTTGTTGTTTTGTTTCTTTTAACCACTGGAAAGGGATCAAAATTAGAGATCTTGTATAGAGTAGAATAAAAATGTGGAACAAAACTCAAAATCTAAAAAGGCAGAGCATAATTATCTGAAAGAGACTGGTGAAACCCCAAGATTATGGCCCCAAATCACTCTTTGGCCCTGAAATTGAACTCACTTTATGGCTTAACTCTCAGTCAAACAATAGATAGGCCTATGAGCTGAACACTCACACCAGAGTGATACACTCCTGAGAACAATCAATCATGGGAGATCAGAAGGGCAGCTTTTGCAAAGGCAGAAAGGCAGAAAGCATAGGCAAGAATAACACAGAGAAAGGATGACCACAGGGAGGAAGAGGGAGGTGAGATATTTCATTATGGGGAATGTAACCAGTGTTAGAAAACAAAATGTGTATGAACTGTTGAATGTAAAACCAACATGGTTTAAAAAATGTCACCCAAATAATAAGTTAAAAAAACAAAAGAAAGCAGTATGCCTGATGAATAAAATTTTATAAAGTGAAGTCTTTTTATATGTACAAATATCTTGGAAGGAAAAGTGTGGCAAAATAAAACTTTCCTTAAATGCCAAAAAGGAAAATAATACGAGTAGTACCCTCCTGTATTAACTTTCAAGTGCTTTAGGGGTGACGGGGAATGAATCAGATAAGATGTTACTCAATATTTTAGCCAATGAGAACTCAGGTTTATGAGTAAGGCAAAGCCAAATCCAATTAGTACCTGATGAAGATTTTGACAGAATCTTTTCAGCAACCTTACCTATAAAGCAGAATAGTGAAAGGGAAATAATCAACCAGATTTTCACCATTGAGACAGAGAGTATGTGTGCCTTGTGTTTGGTCCAAGGGTTTGCTTTGAGAATGTTGGTAACTTGCCACATCATAAGGGGGAAAAGTAGACTCTGCCAAGAAATGGTCACAAAATTATGTTACAAATCTCTCATTGGAAAGAGGTTGTAATCAATGAGGTTTTGGCCGCAGGACAAAGGCTTACTCTCATCCTTCATATCAATACGCTCAACCATGCACAACCACTTTTTATTAAGAACCATATGACATTAAGCATAGATTTTGGAAAACTGTAATCTTTGGGCATGATAGGAAGGGATGGTCAAATAAACATTCAGGCCAACTAATACATTTGACAGTCTCAGGGACTTCATAGTCAGCAGGGGAATCTCTCTGTCAAAAATCAAATGAGTCAAAGAAATTGCCAAGGAACCAGCTCTATGTGAAGGCAGCCATCATAAAGCCCAAGTCTGCTCCTAGAAAATCTGTTCAAGAATTTGGCATTTGGGTGTCTTCCGGCTGCCAAGTGTGTGACCACAGCTATTAGTTTGGAGAGAGAAACTGGAAGTATATAAGAGAAAATGAAGCACGGCCAAGAACACAAGAAGACAGTAATGTCAAATAGGTCTTATAAATGCAAACTAGTTTTTTCATTGCTATCTTAATATTCAACATAGTAATTCTGAGTGAAGGGAATAAGATATTCTGTATTGTTACAATGTATCACAGGAAAATGATAAACTAATGCACAGAATTGAAGGAAAATTCTGAAGAATGAACACATGTGTCTTGGAAGAAATGCACCCAGAGTTCTTAGAAACTTGGCAAGACTTCATCTCATTTTCTTTAAACATTTTATCAGGAGGGGCCATTCCCTGGAGAAGAACAACATACTTGGTGAAGTAGAGGGTCAGGGAAAAAGACAAAGAGCCTCAATAAAATGGATTGACACAATGACTGCAAGAATGGGCTCAAACATAGCCACAACTGTGAGGATGGCACACGACTGGGCAGTGTTTCATTCTGTTGTACGTAGTGTCATTACATGTCATAACTATGGCAATGGCTGATAATAACAACTTTTTGAAAATATGCTTTAGTTTTTGGTACAAGAGTCCTGATGACACCACTGTTAAGCACTTGGCTGCTAACTAAAAGGTTGGCAGTTTGAACCCACATGGCAACTCCACAGGAGAAAGACTTGGTAATCTGCACCCATAATGAATACAGCCTAGAAAGTTCTATGATGCAGCTCGACTCTATCACATAAATCAAAATCCGCTCATCAGCACTTAATAACACAACAAACTTTTAGGGCAATCCAAAACTGTTTAGCAGAGATAGTTTAGGGGTGCTCATTTTAGTCCTGTCTCCACATAAAGAGCCCAGGATATTTGATGTCAACCTGTAGCAATTCAGAAATCTTTCAGGTGTACACTTACATCTTTCCTCTTAGGTTAAGCCCTAAAAGTTTAATCTTTTCACTTATCTCATCTATAACCTCAAATCTGACAATTCATGGGCTTCATTCTTCCACAACTATTTTCTGCTACAAAAATTGTTACAAAAATATGGTACAAAATCTATAATTGCTAACAGATTCACATGAGCAAGATGTTTGACTACTTTTAGGTCTCCTAATACCTTTGAATTTAGGAAGTAAATATAATAGAATTAAAGTGTAGACTTACTAAAAAGCAAAATAGTCACCTCTCTAGTATGAAAAAGCAGAGATCAAAATCAGGCTCTTTTAGAGAACACTTAATAATGTGTAGAAGCTAAAAATGTGTAGCAGCTTTTTATTAGATTTTTACTGTCTAACTTGCCTTCACTGATAATAATATCTGATAATAATGTTAGTATCTGAAAGAATGTAGAACTTTGGTTTCACGTATCAAAATATGGTGAAGGAAACTACCTAATTAAAGATTTCAGGAAAATCTGAGTTCATGCCAGGAAGATAAGAGTCAAACATCTCAAAGATCAAAATAAGGTCTTTGATCTATCCTGCTGCAAGATTATCCACCAAGCTCATTAACAAGTACCATGATAAGAAACTTTCACATAATTTCTTGTGTAGAGAGTTATTGTCATCTTAAAAATGTTCTTTGTGAATATGTATGTTTACAATTAACACCAATGTTTATTTTTAAGAAACTACATTTAGTTAATGTCTGCTACTTTAGGTCTACAATTTTTTTCAACTCACAAAAAATATTATCTGGATGAATGCTTGTTCTTTTAACTGTTTTAAAAGGCAAACATAACTCTGAAAAAAAATAAAACAAAACAAAGTGGAGATAGTATTTGGGGAAGTTTAGAGTGCCTAGTGAATGAGAAAAGGATACAAAATCTCAAATGAAGATTAAAATGGTCTTTATCTGTTTAATTCAAAAAACAACTTATTATATAAGTAGATGTACTAAACACTAACGAAAACAAAATGAACAAGGAGGTTCCCTTCTATGATGTGATAAATATAATTCTAATAACAATAAGAAAAAGACACTGTATAGGCACACTATAAAGCATTTTTAAATGTGGTGTCACATTTGATGCTATTAGGCATCCAGTGATGTGGATATCATTTCTATTTATTCTGACATCAAATAGCATAATCCATTTTATTGTTGAAATATTAATTATAATTATTAATCAAACATAATTCAATAGTAGCATGCATATAATATATTATATATAAAGTGCTTCAGAATGAAGACACAGAGAAAGGTGAGGTAATAGTCCACATCTGGCATACGAAAACAGGATTTTGATGTATGAAAATAGTCTTTTAAGCCAGAATATTACCTTGAGAACGGAATGCATAACTACATTCATCTGGTCTTTCACCTTGTCAAGGGCCATACCTAGAAGATCTGATGCACAGAGTTATTCTGAAGCACTGGTTCTTTTTTCCAGTAATAGCAAATCAAAGAAATATGTCATTCATCAGTTGTTGCAGGTAAGGAAATATCATATTAGTAAGGAGAAGTCCCTCCACCACTTGTCTATCAGTTTGTCATACTGTGGTAGCTTGCATGTTGCTGTGAGGCTGGAGGCTATGCCACCAGTATTTCAAATATTAGCAGGTTTAAACATGATGGATAGGTTTCAGTAGAGCGTCCAGACTAAGACAGAGTGGGAAAAATGATGGAACTATCTGCTTTTGAAAAAACTGGCCAGTGAAAACCACAGGAATAGCAGTGAAACACTGTCTGATTTATTACTGGAAAACATTATGATTAGTCCTGAAACACTGTCTGATATAGTGCTGAAAGATGAGCCACTCATATTGGAAGGCACTCAAACTATGACTAAGGAAGAGCTGCCTCCTCAAGTAAAGTCAACCTTAATGATGTGGATGGAGTAAAGCTTCTACAGCCTTTAGTTGCTAATGGGGCACAACTCAAAATGGGAAGAAACAGCTGCAAAGATCCATTAATAATTGGAACATGAAATGCATGAAGTATGAATCTAGGAAAACTGGAAGCTGTCAAAAATGAAATGGAATGCATAAATATCTATATCTTAGGCATTATTGGGAAGCTCTGGTGGCATAGTGACTAAGGCACTTGACTGCTAACCAGAAGACTAGTGCTTCAAACTCACCAGCCACTCTTCAGAAGGAAGATTGGGTAATCTACTTTCGTAGTGATAACTGCCTCGGAAATCCAAGGAGGGGTGGCTATGAGTTGGAGTCAACTCAAGGACACACAACAACAACAACAACAACAACAGGCATTATTGATCTGAAATGGACTGGTATTGGCCATTTTGAATCAGACAATCATATAGTATCCTACGCCAGGAATGACAAAATGAAGAGGATGACATCACATTCATTAACAAAATGGATATTTTATGATATATCCTGAAGTACAATGTCTTCCTACAAGGAAGAGCCATTTATTCTACTATTATTCAAATTTATGCACCCACTACAGACAGAAATGAAGAAATGGAAGATTTTTACCAACTTCTGCAATCTGAAATTGATCAAACATGCAATCAAGATGTACTGATTTGGAGAAAGAAGAATCTTCGGTGGTTGGAAAATATGGCCCTGGTGATAGAAATGATGCTGGAGATCACATGATAGAATTTTGCAAGACTAATGACTTATTTTGGGAGCTCTGGTAGCATAGTGGCTAAGACACTTGCCTGCTAACCAGACGGCTGGCGGTTCAAACCCACCAGCCACTCCTCGGAAGGAAGGTTGGGCAATCCTACTTCCGTAGTGATACTGCCTCGGAAACCCAAGGAGGGGTCGCTATGAGTCGGGGCCGACTCGACGGCACATAACAACAATAACAACAACAATGACTTATTTGGGAACTCTGGTAGCATAGTGCCTAAGGCATTTGACTGCTAACCAGAAGACTGGCTGTTCAAATCCACCAGCCACTCCTTGGAAGGAAGATTGGGCCATCTACTTCCATAGTGATACTGCCTTGAAAACCCAAGGAAGCGTCACTATGAGTCATATCTGATTAGATGACAGTGTACTCGAGTGAATGACTTACTCATTGCAAATACTATTTTTCAACAATGTAAATATAAATGTGGACCTTGCCAAATGGAGTACAAAGGAATCAACTCCACCACATCTGTGGAAAGAGGTGATGGAGAAGCTCAATGTCATCAGTCAAAACAAGACTAGGAGCTGACAGTGAACTAGACTACAATTTTCTCATATGCAATCTCAAGCTGAGGAAAAAATCTTGAAAATGAACCAAAAGCTGTAAGCAGTTATCTTGCTTGCCTGATAATTGAACCAAGTGGAAAAAAAACAAGTTGTCACAAGGAGCAAACCATTATATCATTATATATCAAATCATTACATATCACATTGGATCTCCCAGATTTAATTGTATCTATTACATAAGACCCAGAGTTAGAAAACCAAAAGGGAAGAACACACTCAGCATTTCTCAAACTGAGAGAACTGAGGAAAAAACTTAAGCCTCAAGTTGCAATATTGAAGAATTCTATGGACAAAATATTGAATGATGCAGGAAGCATCAAAAGAAGATGGAAGGAATACACAAAGTCACTGTATGAAAAAGAATTGGTCAATGTTCAGCTATTTCAGGTAGCATATGATCAAGAATCAATGATATTAGAAGAAGAAGTTCAGTCTACAGTGAAGGAATTGGCGAAAGAAAAAAAAAGTTTCCAAGCATCAATGTAATACCCATTGAGATATTTCAACAGGAGGTGCTTACTCATTTATGCCAAGAAATTTGGAAGACAGCTACCTGGCCAATTGACAGGAAGAGATCCATATTTGTGCCCATTTCAAAGATTGATGATCCAACAGAATGAAGAAATTTTTGAACAATATCATTAATATCACATACAAGCAAAATTTTGCTGAAGGTAATTCAAAACTGGTTGTAGCAGTATGTTGACAGGGAACTGCCAGAAATTCAAGCTGGATTCAGAAGAGGATGTGGAATGAAGGATATTATTACTAATATCAAATGGATCTTGGCTGAAAATAAAGAATACCAGAAAGATGTTTACTTGTGTTTTATTGACTGTGCAAAAGCATTTGATTGTGTGTATCATAACAAATTATGGATAACAGTGCAAAGAATTGAAATTCCAGAATTTAATTGTGCTCATGAAGAACTTGTACATACACCATAAGGCTGTCATTCTAACAGAATAAGGAGATACTGCACGGCTTAAAATCAGGAAGTGTGTGTGTCAGCATTGTATCCTTTCACCATACTTATTCAATCTTTATGCTGAGCAAATAACCTAAGAAACTGGAGTATATTAAGAAGAACATGGCATCAGGTTTGGAAGAAGACTCCTTAACAACATGCAACATGCAGGTGACACAACCTTGTTTGCTGAAAGTGAAGATGACTTCACGTGCTTACTGATGAAGATCAAAGGCAACAGTCTTCTGTACGGATTACATCTCAACATAAAGAAAACAAAAATCCTCACAATTAATTCAATAAGCAATGACAAGAAAAATGGAGAAAAGATTGTACTTGTCAGAAATTTAATTTTTCTTGGATCCACAATCAACACCCATGGAAGCAGCAGTCAAGAAATCAGACATCGTATTGCACTTGGGAAATATGCTGCAAAAGACCTCTTTAAAGTATTAAGAAGCAAAGACGTCACTTTGATGACTAAGATGCAACTAACCCAAGCCATGATATTTACAAAAGCCTCATATGCATGTGAAAACTGGGCAATGAATGAGGAAGGCTGAGAAAGAATTGATGCCTTTGAATTGTGGTACCGGTGAATAATACTGAAAGCACCATGGACTGCCTTGAGACTGAACTTATCTGTCCTAGAAGAACTACAGCCAGACTGCTCCTTGGAAGTGAGAATGTCAGGTATCTTCTCACCTACTTTGGTCATGTTGTTAGAGGGACAATTCTCTGGAAACAGATATCATGCTTGATAAAGTAGAGGGTCAGCAGAAAACAGGAAGACCCTCAACAAGATGAAGAAACACAGTGGCTAAAATCGTGGGTTCAAGTATAGCAAGGATTGTGAGGATGATGCATAACCAGGTAGTGTCTTGTTCTGCTGTACACAGGGTTGATAAGAGTAGAAGTCATGTTGACAAGACCTAACAATAACAACAAAACAAAGCAGGAGTCCCTGTGTAGTACAATTAATGCATTTGGTTGCTAACTGAAAAGCTGGAGGCTTCAATTCATCAAGGTACATTAACAGGTAGCTATTGAATTCCCTATGGAGCATAGTTCTGCTCTAGTGCACAGGGGGCCATTTAAGTAAGAATTGACTCCACTGCAAATTTAATTGATAGTGATGAGCACAAATATCTAACAGCTGCTTTAGCACAGACTCCAATCATTGGCCATAGACAAAGGTCACAGTTTAAAGGAGAGTGCTAGAAGACCTTCCTGACTCAAAATTAACCCTTTTGATTTTGTATGATAGGGATGTCCAACAGGTGCCATATAGAGGACTGATTGTTTGGATGCCTTTTTGGCTTTAAAGATTTCAGAGCAATATTTATTTACCGAATGGAATGGAAGTATTTTACTATTTTATCATCTGGTTTGATCCTACTATGGTGTACCATATGAAGTCAGACTGTATGATAAATAAACAACCTAAAAATAAATATATAAGACAACATATTGCTTTGCTAAAAATACAACAGAAATGTCAAAAGAATGACTGCAAGTCTGGAACTAAATGCACCTCCTGGCTCATCCTTCAGCCAAAGATAGGCAAGCCTATAAAATAAACAGCCATTCCAGGGAAGTAGACATTCATTAGAACAATCAACTATAGACGATCAAAAGGGTAGCATTTGTCCAGGAAAAAACTCAAGGAGGCGAGAATTAATAGGAAAAGAAGATGAAAAGAAATGGTAAACACAAGGAGAAAGTGGGAATACTGTTGTTACATTGTGGGAATTGCAACAAATGTCACAAAATAAAATGTGTGTGGATTGTTGAACGTAAAACCAATTTGCTCTGTAAACTTTCACCCAAATTAAAATAACTAAATAAGAGTGATAACGATCTACTTTAGCTTAAGGCCACTCTGAGTTTGTGGTATTTGAGTTGAGATGGCGATGACAAGAATACAAAGCTCTGGAAAAATATGGGAAGATCATTCTAGAGAGGGAGTCCAGCAAGAAATCTACGTGACTTTCAAAGAATAATAGGAAGTGTATTCATAAATTCCCATACATTTAGCTTTTAATATGAAATAAAATGCAGGTGTTGAGATATGAAAAATTGGGAAAGAGAGACTAGAGCAGAAAATTAGCATTTAAAGACTCTAGTTTCCCAAAGAGGGATCATTAATTATAATAAAAATATGTCTAGAATACAAAAATGGGGTTTGAATCA